TATTTAAAAAAAAAAACGAAAATAAATATAAATTTACATAAATATTCTATATAATATATGTTAAAAAATAAACAATAAAAATATTTTAATTAATTTTTTGCCTTTTTCGTATTTAATTGTTTATTTAATAAAAAATATAAATATATAAAAAATTATTTCGGTTTTTTTTATATAGATATATATTTATTTAATAAATATATTTTTTATATATTTTTTTATATAAAAAATATTTCGGTTTTTTATATATTTTTTATTTTATATAGATATATATTTATTTAATAAATATATTTCGGTTTTTTTTAATATATATTTTTTTATGAAAAAATATTAAGAAATAAATATATAAATATTATATATATTAATTATTAAAATATATTATGTGTTATTTAAAATATATATATTTATTTAAGAAAAATATTAAGAAAAAAGAAATATATATATTATTATATATATTAATTATTAAAATATATTAATTATTTAAATTAATTTAGATTAATAAATTAAGTTGTCTACTTTAAGTTTTTAAAATAAATGAATTAAAAAATTTGTTTACTAATTATTCGTTTAAAATTTTGGATTTAGGCTGATGAGTATCTTGCCGACTTTACTGGTTCTGGACCCCGACACACGCACGGTCGTAATGTGAATGCTTCGGCTCGGGAGCAGAGGAACCGGATGCTCCTTCATGCTCGTACGGTACAGACTGCCCAGGCTGATAGTTCAAGACCTCCCGTTATTCCGATACAGAGTGGTCAGTAGTCGAGCCCACTACTCATGCCTGGCAGTTCGAGTCATCCTGTTACTCCGATACAGAGTGGANNGGACAGCAGTCAGGCCCACTTATGGTTGGCAGTTCGGTACGCCCCACTCCGATATAGAGTGGTCAGCAGTCGGGCCCACTACTCATGCCTGGCAGTTCGAGTCATCATGTTACTCCGATACAGAGTGGACAGCAGTCGGGCCCACTCATGGTTTGCAGTTTGGTACGCCCACTCCGATACAGAGTGGTCTGCAGTCTGGCCCACTCATGCCTGCCAGTTCGGGACGCCCCACTCAGATGCAGAGTGGTCAGCAGTCTAGGCCACTCATGCCTGGCCCACTCATGCCTGGCCCACTCATGCCTGTCAGTCTGGGACGCCCCACTCAGATG